AGAGGGTCCCCCAACCCCCTAGGCACATATTCCAAGTGGAATGGAGTCAGTTGATGCATGCGTGTCCGTGCACCCCCACCGCATTCACCGGAAGTTACACAAAATGAATCTTGAGAAATTTATTAAAAATACCCTAATTAGTGCACCGTCACAATTTTTATTGGAGAGGGTCCCCCAACCCCCTAGGCACATATTCCAAGTGGAATGGAGTTGGTTGATGCATGCGTGTCCGTGCACCCCCACCGCATTCACCGGAAGTTACACAAAATGAATCTTGAAAAATTTATTAAAAATACCCTAATTAGTGCACCGTCACAATTTTTGTTGGAGAGGGTCCCCCAACCCCCTAGGCACATATTCCAAGTGGAATGGAGTCGGTTGATGCATGCGTGTCCGTGCACCCCCACCGCATTCACCGGAAGTTACACAAAATGAATCTTGAAAAATTTATTAAAAATCCCCTAATTGGCGCACCGTCACAATTTTTGTTAGGGAGGGTCCCCCAACCCCTCAGTAACATATTCCAAGCGGAATGAAGTCAGTTTGTGCATGCATGTCCGTGCACCCCTACCGCATTCACCGAAAGTTACACAAAATGAATCTTTAGAAATTAATTAAAAATTCCCTAATTAGCGCACCGCGATAATTTTTATTGGGGAGGGTCCCCCAACCCCCTAGCTACATATTCCAAATGGAATGGGGTTGGTTGGTGCATGCGTGTCCGTGCATCACCATTTTGTTCACCGGAAGTTGAGAGAAATGAATCGTAAAAAATTAATTAAAAATACCCTAATAGGTGCACCGCGATAATTTTTGTTGGACAGTGTCCCCTAACCCCTTAGGGACACATTAAAAATAAAATGACATCGATTGGTGTATGCGTTTATTGCACCCCTATTGACCGCGTAAAAACTTATAAAAATAAAAAAAATATGAAATTCTTCCTCGAGAAATCATTCCCCACCCTCGTCATACATTAAGAAATAATAATAATAATAAAAAAATTGTTCGATTGTTTTTTATCATTTAATTTGTCTGGGAGGAGGTTTAAACTCGTGGCTACCGATGTAGCGTTGAGCGAGCGGCTACGGTGGGGGCCGTACAGTCCGCCTCACAAACTATACCCATCTCCCGCTGAACTGCTCCCGCCAGCTTCAGCCTCATTTCAATGAAACGCTACTCATATATTGATTTGGTTAGATGGCCACCATTATGACGAATATTTTGAAAAAAATTGAATTCGGTTGACCGGTTTTTGAATCCACTCTTGAAACGAAGAATTAGAACGTTAAAACAATGAAATTCCGTTTTGATACGAAAGAACATGCATTCAATAACATATATTCCGTACAAACTACGATATTTTTCTCTCCGTGAAGGCATTACACCTACAGGCCGGGATGGTTTCGAGCGCAGATATCGTTAGCTGTATAGAAGACTAACGTAAGGGCCAAAAAATGTCCTCATACCAGAAGTTTTGAATTTTTAATTCTAGTTCCCATATTTGTTTTCTGTTTCTCTTTTTCTATTGAATTCTCGTATTTTGGCACTTACGTTACTTTTCTATACAGCTAACGATATGAAGGACTACTTCATTCCCCCCAGAAAACCAATAATGAGGACAACCAATTGTACTCTGACCCCCCGGTTCAGTTGACGTAGCTCAAACAAGAGTGGTTGATACTTGAGCCGCTTGTCCTCTTCCTTAGCTGCTATATTGCTCTTAGCCGGAGCCGAGAATTCAATGACAAATGATTTTTTCATCAAAATTGAAGAGGACAATATCAGGTTTGATTGTAGCGATAGGACTGACAGTCGCGAATGAGAAGTTCCAGTAGATCTTACACCTCATTCACGATGACGGACTCAATATCTCCTGGAACACAAGGCAACACCGGTGTTCTGTCTATTCCATAGGTGTGCTGCAAATAATAATACAGTACTGATAAAGCCGAATTATAACGATGAATATAATTCGTGATTGCATCCATCGGACAAGCCGATAAAAGATGCATTAGAATTTTCGGGGACGGTCTGCAAGCCCGACATAAAGTGTCTGGAACTTGCAACCCCATAACGCGACTCCGACAGACTAGGGTGTTTATTTGCGCCATCTTGACATGCGCAAATGAAACCCTCAGTTTCGGACATCAAGCAGACTTCAAGAAAGAGAAAGTCAGCTGGACGGACAGACCCTGTTATTCCGACGCTCTTCCGTGCTGACGGAGCAAGATCGACTGCTCCGCCTCCTTGATGACGGCTCTTCGGCGAAATTTAGTAATGCTGGCCGGTGAATCACTAGGCAACTAACCATCTCGACCACGACGCAACTCCAGACCGAGGAAATCTGCGGCGGTAACTGCTGCCTTATACAGAAAGGCCTGGATCCCATGGAGTTCATGATCATGCACGAACTCCAAATGCGGATCCCAGCCGTTCATCATGTCGCAAACCAAACCAAACTGAGAAGTCCTCGTCCCCCACTCTCTCGCAGAAAATATAACCGCGGATATGAAGAACATGGATGCAAACTCCTGTGAACGCTCACCAGCCTGCGGGTATCTCTGTCTAGCTGTTTCAGTGCATTTCTACTCCACTTGAGGACGCCAAGAGAGTAAAGAAGCACTGGAACAGCAAACATATTGGTTGTACAGTAACTGGGACGTGGTTCTTCCCATACCCAAAAAAAAAGATCAAACAAACAATAAACATATTGGTTGCGGCAACTTTATTCTTGCCGAAAAGTTCGGATCTCCAAACTTTGCGGAGTCACTGCCGATATTCCCCGCAAAGAGTCTCTTTGACTACAACAGCATCCCCTATGGATCGCTGATTGAAGCCAAGATATCGGTATGATTCTTCGGCGCCAAGATGACGTATGATTGGGCTCGCTAAATAAGAAAACGCCACCTAGGATCTAAGGCGCACGGGCACTCACACACACAACACAACCAAATTTTGGGTTTGTGTAGGCGTGTATATGAGCGCCTTAGAGCGACCAGATTGATGAAAAACAGCGCCCTCAACGGTATTTAGCGAGTCCAATACTTCCATCCACAAGCTGAAGATCACCTACCTCGTTGTCGACTTTACCTCTCGTCAGGTGGTAAACGGCGCACTTTTCCAAACCGAAACTCATGGCGACCATGTTATTATTATTATTATTATTAATTCTATTATTATTCTTTGAATGAATATAATAGTGTATTTCAAAACGAATGCATAATAGTAGATTGGGCACCAAGGGACGAAAACAGAAAATGCCAACCCGCGTGTGTTTACCCCCGTGGTGAAGCCGAGAGCTATAAACACGCGGGTTGGAATGTTCTGTTTTGCTTTCTAGGTACAAATGCTATTTTTATAGTATACTACGGGGATACGTCCCCTGCTCGCTCCACTCACCAAGCCCCATATGACCCCCACGATCGCTATTCTGACCCCTCATGACCCTTATTTGGAGCCTTAAGCTGACCCTTGTTACCCATATTTGGGCCCTTATTCTGACCCTCGTGGCACTTCTTCTGACCCTCATGACCCTTAATTACGGAGTTTTTAATTTTGAGTACCAATTTTTTATCACCAGAAGTCGATTTGGATTTTTATAATACATAGAGATTTATTATATTTCCAAACGGAATACCTTAAAAAAAAACAACATTCACGAGAAAATGCCTTCGAGTATCATCCATTCTATCTCTTCATCAATAACTAACTGAATTGATTTTTTGATCGACTTCAAATACCTAGTACGAAGACAACGTCGGGTTTGTGAAGAACCATGGCTGTCTGAAAGGTCCTGTACATCTGCCATTCCCTGGAAATCATGTAAATTTTTTTCTTATTTAAATGAAAATGCATGAAAAGATAAAAAATCAACAGAAAAAAAATCATTAGCGGCTGTATCCTTGATACAGGGACTGGGCGTTCCGTACTATTTCAATCGGTGTTTTTTCGATTTCGATAAAAATTGAATATGATATAGAAGTGTTTTAAGCATGCCTCAAAATGTTATTAAAAGACAATTTTTTTTTGAAAGCTATGCAAAATCAAAATTTTTAGGTTGCACCAGATAAGTGATTTTTTTAAATTCTCACTCGATACATATCAATTTTATCAAACAAGTGCAAACAAACTTTTTTGTTCAAAATATTTGTAAGTTTCGGGAAAAAAAATCCAGACTCGAAAAAGTTGAATTTCCAATGGATTAATCAATAAACAAATTAAAAAGTTATCACCAAATCATGAGAGCATGGTGCAAAAAATATAAAAAAAAATGTTATAGAGTAGGTATTGAAGAAGTGCAATTGGCGCGTGAAGTACAGTTGGCGTTCTCTAATCTCCAGTAGTTCTCGATATATTAAGTTTTTTATGAGTCTCGACTGGCTAGAGCGAAGCTGTCAGCAGGCCCGGCGAAAGGTGTGTGGTGTATGTGGCAGAAAGCACACATGGTATTCTAATGTGTGTGGTCCACCACACATGAGAAAACGGAAAATTTTTGCTTTCGAATGGAAGCTTTGTAATCGTTCAAATTTAAGTTTCCAAATTTTTGTGTTAGGATAACTAAATATGGTCTAAAAAATGCGAATATGCGATTTTTGGAGGGTGTCTGTATGTTCGTATGTATGTATGTATGTGTGTGGACTTTTTTCCAATTTTTTTTCGCGATTTTCATTATAGGGGTTCAATGGAATTTCTAGGCTTTAATAAACACCATCCATCGACACCAGTTAACGTTGAATTATTCACCGAGTTTTTTAAATATTGGTATTTTTTCAAAAATCGATTTATCGACGATCAGTCCACAAATTATTATCGAAATGGAATTAATCATGGCTTAAAAAATTGTATCGATAGCCTCTTGATTCTATCAGAATATGATGGAAATCGGACAATTCATTGTTGATGTTACAGCATATTTGTGAGTTGGTGAGATTTTTTTTTCATGTTTTTCATGATAAACTGGAAAAATTAGCAGCCATATCAATGAAATTACGGCTCAAAAAGTTTCTTCTGATGCTTTCACGTTAAAGTGAAAAGATAGTGAAAATGGAATTATTATTTATCAAGGCGCGTAATAGCGTTATGAGCTTTTGACATAAGGAATTTCTATTGAACTCTTGTATCCGTCTATTATTATGTTGGTTGGTCGGTCTTATCCATAATTATTCATGGTTTCGACTTAATCTCAGCTAAAGTCTGATTAAACCCAGATTAAACACTGACTAAACCTCGATTAAACCTTGATTAAATCTAGATTAAACTCCAATTACACCCCAACTAAATTTTGCTTGGATCACAATAAAATTTCGATTAAATCCGATTAGAACCGGGTAAAACGCCGGCTAAACATCGACTAAACTTTGACTAAATCATCTGACTAAATTATGTTCAACCGCGAGTTGATCTTCGGTCGAATCCTGACTATAGTATATTCAGTTGAAACCACAATTAAACCTTGATTAAACCCTGACTAAAGTCTGATTCGGGCTTATGAGGGTTTGAATACACAATACAGGATGAGACAAAGAAAGAAGGGAAAATGAGTCAAAAACTTTGATGATATTGTGTTTAATAACAATACTATAACCGGAAAAACGAAGAAAATAAGTAGTAGGATGAAAATTTTGAAAACAGACAATCCATTCGGAAGCATATTGGTAATTTTTTAGCAACAATAACTATACTCATTTACAAGAGATGCAATTATTCACTTGTTTTTTTAACAATCAAATACTGAACCCATTATTATAGTATATTTCGTAACGAGTGCAAAAAAGTGTTTTTTTGGCGAGTGAGAGGTTTATATCACGAGCCGAAGGCGAGTGATATAACCCCACGAGCTAAAAAACATTTTTTCACGAGTTACGAACATTATTTTTCATCACAATGTGGCAGAAATCGGACTTTTAGGCACGCGAAGCGTGCCGAAAAGTTCACTTTTCGTCACAGTGTGATGAAAAAAATTATTCATATTCCCTCATCCCGAATATGAATATTTTTTCAAAAGTCTGGTGACTGACACAGAGTCATCTTTTAAATTTTCGTGTGCAACTCTCCCTACTTAAAAATGCGCCAAGCGTATGTCCACATTTGCCATAACTTGAGAGACTGCAGAAGTGTCTATCAATTATTCTTGTTGATAAATAATTAATACTCTGTTCGATGTTGCATATTATTAAATAAACACGTATCTTTGTTTTATAATTAGACGGATTTTAGTCTTTCATTTGACTCATGACCGTTTGACTATTCATCATTTTACCATCCCCGTTTGTCTCCTCGCGATTTGACCACTATCTAATCCTTACAACCCCCTCCTCATCAACTCGTTCACCACACATGACAAATTCTCCTTCCGCCGGGCCTGGCTGGCAGCGCGCTGCGGTGAGTGGACTTGGTATCATCTTCGATAATTGGTATCGATAATTGGCGTTTTCAGTGTCGGGGGAATAAATATATTGCAATGGATTGTCTCCGATTAAATTCAATTGTGAGTCAAATTCAAATTAAAAGGCATTACCGTGGTGGCACCAGTTTTCGAATGGTTACGGGGCATCAACCCATTAATATCGGATTATCCCTATCTTTTCCAATCAAATGTTAAATATTAACTTTTAGCAGTCAATTCGGATGTTTTTCCGATAGAAAGTCACTTAACTTTGATTGAAAAAATTAGGAATTATTATAGATGAATGTTAGCGAAAATAAAACATAGTGCCTCGAACCCAGATTTCGAATGTCCAAAACCGACCCATCCCAGTTATCGAATAACATAGGCGCAGTTTTGGCATAAAGCGAATTAAAAGGTTTTGGCTGAAGAGAATTTAGGAAATGGTTTATGAAAAACATCCAGAGCAATTTTTTTGTTTTTTTAACAGTAAAAACCTGGTTGAAGACTAGCGATTGAGCTCTCTTCAACTGTTTCCTCCTGGCCCTTTTCTGCAAGGGGCAAGAGGTGAAAGGGAACCAGTTGGAGCAACGTTATGGCGAAGAAGCTTCTTCGTCAGAACGTTGGGACTCTTCTTCTTAGCTTCTTCTCTTTCAAATCCTTCTTTTATTGATTGCATGAGCTCATTAAGTAGCCCCCTGGTGAATTTTCAATCAACTTTTATTCTAGACAGGTATGAAATCGGTTATAAGGTTAGGAAGAATACATTCGTCAAGTCCTTCCACCTCGTATTCTGTGAATCCAAATCTCAAATGCCATATTTTTTATAGATTTTTATTTTTTTCATTTTGTTTTAATCTGTATCGATTCGAAATCTATCCCTCAACTCATAGGAACTGATTAAAATCAATTGTTTGCTTACATTTTGTCTCTAGATCCTTATGAAGTGTGACTGAATCCAACCGTCTGTGCACTATTATACATAAGGCTCGATAAACAGATTAGTCGATCGAGCACCCCGGATAAATATAATTTTAGGAATTTATTGCACTTTGTGTAATGCATACAGATATTGTAATTCGTGCAGAAATAACTGCACTTTGAGAGGAAAACAATGAAAATGAACTTCGATGCCTTTGAATATTTATTCGTTCGAAATTACGCCGCACGAGTACTCGAAATTCGGCTATTTAGGTCCCCCTCGAAAACTGGTGCCCCACCACGGTATCTGAAAAAAAATGAGACGAATTTATCGGTTGTCTGGCCACGTCGCCTGAGGCGGGGTACTTCCTGTGGTGTGGCTGGCCGTATGCACCAGTTGACTGTCAATTGACATTTCCGGGAATCATTTCATTGTCAATAGGTAATGTAACATCAGGGGTACCGGTTTTGCGATCTACGGAACTTCGTTGTTGATTGAAGTTGAAAAAAAGTACTACGCTGAGAACCCGGTGGTTATGATTCACTCAGCGCGTTGACCTAACTTAAGGATAATCGGGCGAGGAGGAAATGTAGGAAGTGAGGCGGAGGGGTTTCTATTGTTTTCCTGCAGAAAATCAATCGCTTTTTTCGCTATTATTAACCCCTCACGTACGGTGCCTTTCTGATACCAAGTCTACCATACGCTCAATACTCTTCGCATCCCACATTTTCTGATGAATGAAAAATTATAAATAAAATATATAATTGAAGCTGTATACTGTATTCACCTTCCCAATGGTATTAGTCCGATTGTATTATCGGCCATAGTTTCGGAAATATTCAATTTTGAAAAGAGCCGTGCGTTTTTGCATGGGTCGGTATGACATACCGAGCCCGTACGTGAGGGGTTAATAAACAATGCTCCTAGGCGACAATCTTTTTCACTCAAAAAATCATTGATCACATGTTCTAAATGTGTCTAAAGTTTCATGACTTTGGCTGCATTTTTTCCTTGGGTTTTGCAGTTTTTTTGGTGATTTCCATAAGATCACGGGTTAAATGACCACTTTTTCAAAAATTCATAATAAATTAACCATGCTCCCCAGCAGTCTGAAACTTTGCACACGCCTTTTCCATTATTTAAAGAATACGTAAAAAAAAAGAAAAAAATGGCTACTTTTTTTCAAACCCTCCCAGCTCGCCCGTTTATCCTTAACGTGTTTCGAGGAAATCCTGCGACTGGCGCAGCTTCATAAAATATTCAACATCTCGAGAACTACTGGAGATTGAAGACCACCAATTGTATCAGCAATTCTTCGATACCTACTCTATTACATATATTTTTTCGAATGTTTGGCACCATGCCTTCATGGTTTGTTATTAACTTTTTAATTTGTCTATTGATTAATTCATTGTAAATTTAATTTTTTCGAATCTTGATTCTTTTCCCCGAAACTTGCACCTGCTTTGAACGAAAAAGTTCTCTTGCACTTGTTTGATAAAATTCATATTTAATGTTATAAAATTCATATTCATGTTGAAAAAAAAATTTTTTTTCCAATGGCCATCCAAAGCATGCATGGAATAAATCGACAACATATTCAATTTTGCTTCAAGTTTGAAAAAAAAGTTTTTCGATTTGACCGAAATAGTTGCGAACGCCCCTACAGCAGTTAGATTTAATCCTCCTGAACTGGCTCAATGAGCAAAGCGCTGCCTTTTCTCGATTTTTTCTTGTTGCATGCAAAATTATGTATGAAAAAAGTTGTAAAAATTACAATGCCTAGTTCAAACCCTCTAGAATGGACAGGTAAGATTCCTATCCCTTGAAAACCCCATGAATACTATGAAAAATAATAATTTAGTGAGACTGGTACGGAAAAGCGGCGCCTCGCCGCCCGGAGCCAGTGGACTCGTGTAGTCGGTTTTTAGCCGCACTGTTGCCACGTCGTTCGTTGCAGTTCAAACATACTAGGAACTTCAACATCTCTATCACGTGCCGTGTTTGGCATTTCATAAAAAACGCGAATTTTTTTTTTTTTAGAGCATAAATGTTGTTTAATTCGAGAAAAATGTGTGCAGTGTAGATTTTTATTCACGTATAGGGCTCTAATGCGGCAACACCGTGCTAACCGTAACACGGGCGACGCGTTGCTCACCGAGCCAGTGGACTCGGCGAACGCCAGTTCAGGAGGGTTTACGTGGATATGCTTAGGTTTGTTATTCATGTGTGGATGTGTCGACATGTCCGTATTTTGTTAAATGAATTGAATTTTTTAAAAAATGTGCGAATTTTGTTCAAATTTTCTGTAAAACTAAAGGATTTTCTCGTATTTAAAAGAAATTTAGAAGAAAACCGGAGAATTTTCTCGAATTTTCTAAAAAAAATTGAATTTTTTAGAATTCCGACACGTTGCGCTAGCCGTTAGGGGTAACGTCGCGAATGATCCCCAACATGGAAATTAAAGACGTAACCACGTCAAAAATATGGTGTTGTACCTTCGAAGTTTGTCGAACCAGTGACCCTTTCGGAACCCTAACAAGTGGGTGTCAGCAATGAACATCGCCTTGACAGGTCTCTCGTCTGCCTTGGGAACTGCAATTGTTAGATCAACTTTCTGGGCGTCCAGGGAGGGCCATCCACACTAAAAGAATCGAGATTTGATCGAAATCGAAAACTTTATAGAAACCCTTTCAAGGATTCTGTATTCCTCAATAAAGGAAGTTCTCAGGGAAATGTTGCTATTTCCTTCATATTCAAAAATAAGCAGGGTTTCGAGCCTATCTGACGGACGACATGTGACCGTTACTTTTTACGTTATTTTATTTATGGAATATTCAATGCGAGTTGTAATCGTCCAGAAACTAACCCCCGTCCAGAAATTGACCTGTTTACCCTATATAGAAAAGTCAACATCTACTATCTTTCTTCTACAAACCAATAGTCATTTAAAAATGCGCGTGAAAATAGGATATTTATTAATTAAATTGGCGCAAATCACAAATAGAACTTTTAATAGAATTGTTATGGAGCTCCTCTGTCCATAGAAATTAAATAGAATTTCTTGGAGAAACCGCTAAATTTCGTATAAAAATTTTTCATACGCAAATTTTTTACACGGATGGGAGAACATATGAAACCAACATTTTAAGAAAAATCGGTTGCAGTAGCTTTAACAAAATCAAATAAGCAAATTTCTTCTCATACACAGCCTCGTATAGGATTTATTTTTGAATGCATAATTCACTGGAAGACTCCAAAGGCAAAAATAAAAAATGGAGGGCAATGTGACAGAATACACTAGACCCTTCGAAAAATACTGAATCCTAAAAACCTGAGGTACCCAGGAAATAATGCAGATATTGGAGGCTTCAAACCCCATTTAACTTGCTAATACTAATGCCTACACCCTTTGATTATTATCAATTTCACTTCTGACTAATCAACTCGGGTTGGATTACAACTTTTATCAATACAAAGGGGATAACTCTATCTATTAGTTGAAAAAAAACAAACTTTTGAACGCTTGTGACTTTATATCAACGTGCTTGAAATGAGACCTAATTCATTAAAATCGTACCGTCCACAATACTTCTATATTAATGAAAACAATACGGTTCCATAAATGGGCCTCATTTCTGAAGGGGTGTCCTCAGTAGGGCAAAACGGTATGCAAACGAGCATTGAACATTTCATGCATTCAACGCCAAATGATAAAAAGGAGAAAAATCGCGAGCAGATATTTCATTTTTCTAACTGTGATGTTTTTTGTTTTTTCGATTAAATAATTCACGAATATGGTACAGCTCGACAAAGCTTAAGTATACAACAGCGGATAAACTACCAAATAATGTCGACAAAAAAAAAATATCACGACGAGATTTTGTAAAATTTCAGATATGACAATTGTTTTTTCTTCAATAGAATAAGCCTAGAAGATATCCGCTGTTATTAGTTTTCAAAATTTTGTACTATTTATACTGTTCATGTAACTTAGTTGGGAAAATATTCAACGGTCATTACGATTAACTAAACTCATACCGAACCTATTGGTTTTGATTTTTTTCAAATCCCATCATTTCCCAGATAGATATGCAGTGTCTAATTTTTTTTTTGCCAGAAATCGGAAAACTTCTGGGTCATAAAACGGTGATGGGCGCGCGTGTGAGTGGCATCAGTGGAGCCAAAGAGGATTGACTAAAGTAGAGGCTCAGACAAAGAGGACAGACCTGAGTAGAGGCCCGAATCGGGGGGTTTGACTGACTCCAAAAATGTTAGTTGGTACCCCACGGGAAAGGCGGCGTCCCGGTCGAATTGTCGGTAAATGTGAGTCGGGTGCGTGAGTAACTCGGCAGGGGTGACCCCCACGACCGCCACTTTACCATCATCAAATGCCGCAAACTTGACGAAACTAAAAATTCCCTAGCATCTAAAAAAACCAAAAATAAAAAATGTAAAGGGTGCAAGTATTTGATTGTAATCTTCTCCACAGCTGGTTACTGTTATAACATTTATCATTACACGAGACTATTATATCGTATCTGAGATATCAGTGCTGAGTGATTTATTTGTAAAGACTAGTTATAAAATCTTTAACTATTACTTGTATATCGCTTGTTGATATGCACATCAAAACGCACAAATGTGATGACCTAGGAAATTCCCAATGAGTGATGTATTATATCATTATTATAAGGAAAATTGCCTCTATTGTTCGTTATAAGGACTGTATTACTAAATTGTCCATGGAAAATTGAGTGAAGATGGAGAGAATGACTAATGTTTTTAGAATTTAATTGATTTTTGATGTTGGATAATGTTTGTAGGGATTCATTTCCATATATTAGGATTGTTCCACACAATACTCATAACTCTACAATAATTGAATTCCGAATATTTATTAAATCCCAAACCTCATAACATCTTTACGCAAAATAGTGTATTCAATGAATGATCTGCACTGTTTTCTATCGATGGATACATATTCTCAAGTTTATATAAATCTGAACTAGGGATCATTGAAAATATTGAAAGGTTCGGCATCATAAACGGCGATAGAACTGATGACAATAATATTAAAAAATGTAGCATATCTATAGTCTAACACGCTTTCGGTTCAAGAATTATTTTGTGCGAGCAAATGGAGAAGAAAAAAAATTTCATAACAACGATAATAGCTCACAATATTACACCTATGGAGAAATCAATGAAAACAGCCTATTGACGTGAATACACTTATTTAAGTGACTTTTGGAAAAAGATTATTTATATGGACAACCAATTTTGTTTTCGCGCAAGAATCAACGAAGACAAAATTTCGTTTTGTCCGAACTGATATTGAATTATCAGTTACCATCTGAGTAAATTACCGACTGTAGAGATATCACCAGCATAGTTCCATCGTCGTGCTTTTACCGTGCACTGGCGCGGTGGATTTGAATTATAGCGCGTTAAGGGGATACTACTATGAGAGTTTCAAAAGTCGCGGGTTATGCTGCTGGGGAAATTTTTCAATAGAACAATATCTATTTTAAACAAGTTAAAAATTGCTCTTGTAGTACATATAGTATAGTTATTTTTGCTAATAAATTAGCAATACTCTTCCAAATGGTTATTTTGTACATAATTTTCTTTTATCACGTTTAATTCATTGTGTATCTCATTTTATTAAATTAAATAAGTTTTTTTTAAACTCATTTTGTCCGCTTTTCAACTTGAATCAATGTTATCATCGTCATTATTCTTCTTATCCCTTTCTTCTGTGCAACTGATTGTCTTTTCTTACGGTTCTATCTCCCCCCTCAGCCCTTCGACACGTTATTAAAAAAATTGTATTTATACATACTTGAATGAATTTGAAACATCACATTGGAAGAAACCATCAGAAAGCTCACTTTCCGGGAAATTCATGAAAAATTCGAAATTTTCAACAATCATGAAAATCAAATCAGCCAATGTAGCTATTGTAATCATCTAGCAACTTCGAATTAATGGCTTTAAAACAAACATTTTAAACTATAATTGAATTCATTTTAAGCATAATATCCAAAGATATACCCGGAATCCTCATTAAAAAAAAAATTTGCAAATTTTCAAATCAATCCAAATAACGATTATGGCTATCGCCTTCATGTGCGAACTCGGTCAAAAGGACATCCAAACAAATTTTTTAAGCTATCATTCAATCAATTATGAACATTTTCGCTTTAGCTATTAAATTGTAATTAACACAGATTGATAGGGCTCAACAAAACCTATATTTGAGGAATAGAAAATTATTCCATCGATTCATTAGCGAATAATCCAAGACAATTTTGCTTGCATATGTACGCACATATATACGTACGGACACGGTCCAAAAATTACATTTTCAGAGTTTTTTGATCATAATGGGTTGATATACCACGAAAAATCCAAATTTAAATTTGAACAATTACAATGCTTCCATTCGGAAGCAAATATCATATTAAAAGGTTGCATAATTTTTAATTAACTTGATGCCAAAAATTTTTTTTTCTTTATTGCTTTTTTTCATACATGTAAAATATCAAGTAATTTTCATTTTGCAGAGCATTTGAAGACATTTTAAAATATTTTTCCAGATCTTTTTCAAAAGGATTTGATTTTCAAAATTTTTCAAAATGCGTTTACAATTTTTTGGAAATGAGTGAGATAATTTTTTAAAGTACAATCGAAATTTCATTTAGTTTTCGCAGTATTCCCTCACATTCCAGTTTTGTTAATTACAATTCCGATAACAACTTGCTTCTCTGCCTCGTATTTATACATGTCGGGTTATTTATTGTAACAATTAAGGTGATAGAAATCTTAGTATTTGTTCTTACACATAGTTTACTTAGAGAGAATTTTATTGTTAATAGTTGTACAGGGATAAAAAAAGGTTATAATTTATTTCTATTCTTATATTCTTCCCCCCTTTTTGACCTTTTTGAGTTCGCAGAAATGCAAAACAATGACGCATCTAGGAACACATTGAAGTGTTTACATTCCGGCCTCGTGAGTGGAAGGAGTGGAGGAAGCACTAGAGCGATTATAAATCGTAATATATTGTAGTCCAAGAAATACGAGGCAAAGATATCAATGTGTTGTTAAACACCGGGATTTTTTTTTACAGAGTTTGTATCTTATTCGTAAGGAACTATGTAGGGGGGTTTAATCTTCCCAATGTTTGTGTGGGTGGAAAATACCTAAAAACTACCCTTGAAAACGGTTTTTCCGAAATAATTTTTTAACTACGCAAAATACGGAAAAAACCTGGTATACACAATCATAGAGCTTTAAATTCTCTACAAATAGTGTACGTCACTTCACACCTATTTCCGACCGTTTATCTCCCACAGCCGCTTGAATATTTGATAGAATTTTTTTTTTATATCGGAAAATTGAAATTAATATTTTTTCTCTGAATATTCATAATTTGAAAAATACTTTTTTTTTCTCCCTAGCGTTCTTTTTCATTGAGAGTGAATTTACTACACATCACTACTTGTAACTTGAAATCCCATCGATGGATTTTTTTTTTTTTCCATACTTTTCATAACAACATTTCCTACAAATTTTATCTTGATCTTTCGAACAGATTTCCAATAGATTGGAAGTTAAACGCAAATCTTTAGTTCCAATCCCAAGCCAGGCTCCGTGATTGAGTACCTTTGGTGCGAGAGAGATTTCTCCGTCTCGTTCCCAGTCATTGTAGTGGTTTCCTGACCGTTTGCGCGTGCGTGCATGGGCATGTCGAACCACCACGGAATGAATATGAGAAAATTAGTATATTATGTCATCAGGCGATAAAAGTATTATCTGGCGAATGTGACTGTAATCCTCGCCTTCATCTCAATTAGGGAGGGGAGAAATGAATTTTTGAATGAGAAGAACTTGTCCGAAGTTACTCCGCGCTTTGAAAATTCATGCCTCCGCTCCTAATTGACATTAAGGAATGAAACCGGTGTCATTTATTGAAAATATAATTCTCCATCGATACGCGTTGGTTTCATGTCTTCATGCCAATTAGGGGGGGAGAAATGAATGTTCCAATTGGGGGAACGCTTCCAGGCCTACTCGACACCGGAGAACTGTTCGGGGTTACTCCGTGTTTTAGAAAATTCAATCCTTTTCTCCTTGTTGAGATTAAGGAATGAAACCGCTGTCTATTATTGAGAATTCATTTCGCGATCAATTGGCGTTGGTTTCATTCCTTCGTCCCAATTAGGGGGCGGAGGGGAGAAATGAATTTTCCAATGGGAGGAGCCCCTCCGGGCTCACTTGACGCTGGTGACCGTTCGGAATTCCCCCGCGCCTTGAAAATTCATTGTTGCACTCCTCATTGAGATTAAAGAATGAAGCGGCTATCATTCATGGAAAATATAATTCTCGATTGCTTCCTCTCATTTAGGGAGGAGAGAAATGAATTTTTCAATGAGAAGAACTTCTCCGAAGTTACTCCGCGCTTTGATAATTCATTCCCCCGCTCCTAATTGAGATTAAGGAATGAAACCGATGTCATGGATTGAAAATGTAATTCTCGATTGATACGCGTTAGTTTCATGTCTTCATCTCAATTGGGAGGGGAGAAATGAAATTTCAAAGCACGTAGTAACTTCGGACTAGTTCTTCTCATTCAAAAATTAATTTCTCCCCTCCTTAATTGAGATGAAGCAATCGAGAATTATATTTAATGGGGAGAACTTGACCGCAATCACTTCGTGCTTCGAAAATGTATTTCTCCTTTTCTAATTGAGGTTTAGAAATAGAACTGGTGTCAATTCATTGAGAATTCAATTCTCAATCGATTGGCCTTCGTAACTTCTCTCCACCTCAATTAGGGGAGGAAAAATAGATTTTGATATTGAGGGCATAATTCCGGGGTCAGTCGGGAAAGGCGGCGTCCTGGTCAAATTGTCGGTAAATGTGAGACGGGTGCGTGAGGCGTGAGTAACTCGGCAGTAGCAGTGCCGCTGTCACAGGGACAGGTTCTGAGGGGCACTTTTGTCCTCCTTGTACTCAATGTTTACTTTATGTTTTTCAGTTGATTTATTCGCCGACTAATTAATATTAAGGGATGAAACAAAGACTGTTCAATGGAGAATTAAATTCCCCATCCATCAAGCCCCGTTTCATCCCTTAATCTCTGCAATAAAAAAATTAATATTGCGACGAAAGTCACGGCGCTATAACCCAGGTGAGGATTAACAACTGGCCCAGGCCTGGTCAAGTCTTGGACCAGGACTAGACAAGCCTGTCCGAGGCTTGGTATCCAAGCCTATATCAATCCTGAAATGGAACATTGGTCCAAGCTAGGACTGAGGCTTGATCCAAGCCTTGGAATTAAGCTTAGACCAAGCCTGGTAATGTAGCTTGGACCGAGCTTGGAAAATACGATTGTTTGAAGCCTGACATTTTGGATTGGTCCAAGCCTAATGATTTGGTTCCGCCAAGCTTGGAAATTTAGATTAAACCGAGCCTGGTAATCTATCGTTTACAATAAAAAGTCATATTATTCAATAAAAAAAATACATATATTTTTTTTCCGTTTGAACAATACAGAATATTTCGTTACAATAGTTATAAATAATGAAATAATATGATGAGGTAAGAATACTGGAGATGCTCCCTTGAATGAATATTAAGCTGAGTGTCGGGCTCTTTTTCTCTCAGCAGCCCCTCCATCTCGATCAGATGCAGCTGATAACCAGTCACTGGTTGTTGTCAATATTTTCATTTCTTTCTCTGATTTCTTGTACTTGGCTTTGAGAAAGTCTGTACAGAAAAGAATCAATTCGATAATGTATCACGATTATAATTATAATTACTGCGAGTATTCTGAATAGCGATGGATTCAGAGAGAAATTTCCAAAGACATTTTTTGTAATTCATGGAAATTCCAACAAAAAAGATCTTTTGACGTTCTCTCGTAACATCCCTCATTACAGAGATGATGACACAATTGATAATTTGACAACGAACTTACAGTTTATCCTGTAAATATTTTTGAAACCCGCGTGTTGAGGAAAAAAAGGTCGAGGGACATTTTGCAGGAAATGGAAATTGACAAAATCTAATAAACGAACCTCTCATGCACTCGTAACTCATCGTTCTGCTGAAATTCTTCTTCGCAACTCCTCGTGTTGCACGACCAGCACCACTGTAGAGGAGTTGTACAGGCTTTTTGATGAAGTGGAAGAGAATTTTTTTGGTGTCTGCCACAAAGTCATTTGACTCCGAAGTCTCATTAGCCATAAACTCCATCTGGAAAATATATGAAGAATGATTAAAGAATTGAATCTGATGGTTAATCCGTTAATAATCCAAACTAATTACCAAGGCAGCTCGACGTTTAGTGACTTCCTCCACATTCTCAGCATCTTTCAAATCCAACATGTTTTCCCATTTCTCAAAATCCTCTAGCGTATCGACTGGAATTTTCATCCCTAATTTATCTTGTGCCAAAACAAATTTCTCTCCAAGAGGCAACGTGGGAGTTTTCATGGATTGCTTCAATTCTTTTGTATGATTAGTCATATCCAATTGATGGCATCTCCTGAGGTTGTGTAACTCCGATTTATAATCATAAGACAAAAGGGCTAGAGATGTATCCAAGTAGTCAGCAAAAAACACTGGAAAGAATACACAGTTGTGAGCAAAATTGATGAATTTTGATTTGTCGTTTTATGTTCTTTTTCTACTATTGAATTTCGAGCATTTACTTTTAACAGGATCGTCTTCGTTCTTTTCTCGTATCTTTAGTAGATGGTCCTAGAACTGAACTCTAGGATGTACCCTATCTGAGGCATTTTTCGTGACTAGAAGAAGAAAAATAGTCTGATATATTTTACGAAAAGAAAGGTTGAATAAAACAATTAAAAAATACCTTTCACTGGTCCCATCGAGTTTGCATCTCTTGAGGTACTGGGTATTGGAGCCAGAATTCCATCACTCTGGGGATCAACAGTGTTGCAAGATCGCTTTGGGGGAAGAACAATTGGCTCTTCGTCAATATTCTCGAGAGAATGAGAAGTCTTCAGCACACTTGAAGCTCGTTTCTTCGTAATGCTGAGTTCTGAGTCGACACTCTCTAACTCAGAATCAGTTTCTAGGCCTGAGCGAGTCTTATAGAGTTTCTCGAGTTTTTTCTGGGCTTTTTCGATTGTTGCTGTGGAAAAAAGATTATTCCATGATGCAAAAATAATTTGGAAAAAGTGGTATCTAAATTAATGAGAATAAAATCCACCTGCTTTGCCCAAAATTTCAATCTCATAAATTTCCCACGAAGCGTTGAAGGGGCGTTCTTCTTTGAACCATTTTGAAACTTTGATCCAATCTTTCTTAGGAGGATAGTAGCAGAAATCCTTTAACGTTACGTCAATTTTTTTCTGGATCCACCCATCAAGTACGACTTCAATGACCTTCTTTCCATCGTCAGTGCGTTCTCCCACAATTTCGACGAGACGATAGGGATAATTATTTGTGCCTTGATCACTCATTGTCTAGAATATGAGGAAGAATAATTTCAATTGAGTGGACGTTGTTCACTCTGATTTTTAGGTTAATTTGATGATCTCATTTTTTTCACATTCATTGAGAAAAACTAATATTTCACTGCCGATGGATGAAAAAAAAATATGTTCAGTAAGTGAAAACATGAACTCACGTGAAACGCTGTAAATTACGTGTAGGTGAATATCCTGTACACGTACACTTGTTCGTGGGACCACGAAAACAATCAAAATGGCGGTCTAAAAAATTTAATGGCGTTGCCAAATGAACGCCACAAGCGTCTTCTCACAACACGAACAATTGATTCCGTCTCTCACTTCCACCAAATTTACTCTTTTCTCCATTCACGATTACCGGAAAGGTGATTATTGTTTAGTGTAGATGGCTTAGAGCAGAGCGAAAGAACAAGATCGTCCACCTTGTACCGTACGCCACTGACTACATATGCTACCTACCCCCCCTCACTTTCATGAAGTCACGACACCGTCCCCTCCACTGATACATGCATCGGTCGGGTCCGTCCGCTTATTTTCGTATCCTGAACTGTCGTTCACATTGCAACTGCAGTGACTTGTGCATGAAAACGGTCTTTGGTTCAATTGGAATGTGGAATCAATGATAAATTTGTTGTTCATCTTGTTTATTTTTTTATTATTATTCTTTAAAAATTCAAGTGCTCCTGAAAGACTAGCTGAGCATTTAAAAATCGCATTTAGTTGATTAAATGAATAAGAAAATTATTAGAAAGGAGTATGACATATATTTTTACACCGATTGTTAGTTTATAGCCTCAAAAATGCAAAAAAAAACTGTGTAATTTCAATTGGAATGTGGAATGAATGAAAAATTTATAGTTCATCTTGTTTATTCTTTTTATTGTTGTTATTTAAAAATTCAAGTACTTCTGATAGACTATCTGAGTATTTAAAAATCGCAATTAGTTTATTGGATGAATGAAAAAATTATGATAAAGGAGTGTGACATATTTTTACATTGATTGTTGGTTTATAGACCCAAACAGACTGAAAAAAATGCAAAAAACTGGGTTCTTTCAAGTGGAATGTGGAATCAATAATAAATTCGTTGTTCATCTTGTTTATTCTTCTTTTTGTTATTATTTAAAAATTCAAGTGATCCTGAAAGACTATCTGAGTATTTAAAAGTCGTAGTTAGTTGATTGAATGAATGAGTAAATTATTATAAAGGAGTGTGAGATCTATTTTTAGAGAAGCTCCTGTAAGAAGTTGTAAATTTGAACTGTCAGGAGGCAAAAAATAGTTAAAATAAGTGGTTTCAATGATAATATTGATAGCTTTTTAAATTAATCATCCAGTCTATTCTAATCGATTTATAACAATTTGAATGTATTCTAGTGCTCTCTGTATATTTGTTAAACAGTTCAATTTCAATGATCAATAGTTGATGAATTAATGTTGTAAAATCTACAAAGGCATTCAAATTTTAATTCTCAGAAATATAAATTTTTTAGTTTCAAAGAATGTCAGTCATTTACACGAATTCTCCGATAACCATGTGAATTTAATCATTCCAGCATTTCCAAGAGATGGAATTTACTCAGGATCCCTGTGGAGTAGTGAAATTACATACTCTTCCTCTTGAATTATCAACTCCATGAATTTATATTTTACCTCATTGAGTGATAACAGTTCACGGGTATTAGACCACTTCTTGATTTGAAACACTCCAATTTGATGTGAAGGACACGGTACACAAAATACATCCTTCGTTTCGCCAACTCTCAATCCCTCCATAAGGAAATTATTCGGATTCTCCACATGACTTGAGCCTTTTTCTTTCATCCACAATCCCGTAATCATGAATAGATCTCGATTGATTAATTGTACAACATTATTAGGCCGATTAGTACGTAAGATGAAGTTGTGAAAAGTGATAGACTCCAATGAGACAAAATTCTCCTCATTTTCCAGGATACCTTTATTAGTTTTCATTCTTTTTGCATCTCGAATCTGTTCACGCTTTTTTATCCTCAAGTCTTCAGAAGCTTCAAGAGCATTGAGTCGATTTATAATTTGAGGTAATGGTTTGGCTGTGCTGCTAGCATAATTTTTTAACTTTCCAATATAATTCTCTCCCCAAAATGCTGAATAATCATATAGAGAAGTTTTAAAATACTCTGCGTCATCAGGTATGTGTAGTAGGTTATGGAAAGTCATCGTCTGCGAATCATCCCCATAATAAAGTGGCAATATCTCAAAAAAACTCGTCAATAATTTTCTCGCAAATTTTGGATGATCCACGACCCACTGATTACTGCAGAGAATACGGCACGACACGTACAGTAACAGGAAGTGTTGATATCTTTCTTCATCAAGGACAAATTTGAGTATTACACCACCTACATACAGTAGTAAAAATGCATACTGAGTTGCCTTCCATTGTGAAATGTCTTCGGCATCGAAAGTCTTTCGTTGGAACTCTGCAGGTACAAAAGGTGTCACAGAATCCATTAATACCTTGAAAACACGCACTTGAGTTGGCGTCAATTTATATGTATTCTTCTCTCTTTTTACCCACTTTTCACCAAGGATTTTCATCACATTAAAAAAAAAACAATGCATGATGTCTATGGGGACCTGTTTAACTGGATCGAACCCAGGGATGCTTAGTAGAGGTGACACGAGTGGCTCTTTCGTTCTTGCATCGGTCAGATGGTGATCAGGCTGAGCTTGGGTTTCAAATGTGTGTTTTGTTCGTAAGGTGCAATTCATTTTTGGATAAATTCGTTTTCTATTCCTGGTCTGACCTTCAGTCGTACACCTTTCACACCCATAGTAGGCAGTCGCACCTTTAATACATTTTAAAAACGCTCTAGCTGCACTATCAGCGATTATAGCTGATATTTGAAATTTATACTTTTTACCACCAATTTCAATGCCCTCATTAATCAATTTTGTCGATTCTTCCACAAAATCCTTCAAATATTCCGAAACATTTTTCGGTTTGGATTTTCCGTAGAATAATCCAACAACAAATGGAGTTGCCACGTAATGAGGGTGGAGAATTTTCATGGCAATTGGCCACATTTGATCCTTAGAATGGCGATAAACTTTCATTCCATCCACATGTACCACAACACGAATTGTCTCTTCTGTGTATACATCTAAAACAATTCGTTTCTGTAAGCCATTACTAATGCCAAGATAAACATATTTACCAATCTCATCCTTGAGAGTGAGTAGATTCCTCGTTTTTATTTTATGTTTGAATCCCAGCAATTTGTGAGCGGTTGATGGCAGATCTGTAAAGCACAGGCTCCTGAATATTTGTAATATTTCTGTCACAGCTTTCAATTTTATGGATCCTATATTATTGATAACCCATTGCCGTATCCTCTGCTTTAAATTAGGGCGTTCAGGAGATACTGCGGCCTGCTCTTGAGCCACTATCGGCTCGTCTCAGTATCTTGTTCGCTCATGTAATTTCCTTGGTCCTCTTCGTAAAAAGCTGAGTTTTCTGCGGCACTTTCAACATGAATATCACTGAACGAAGGATCATCATCAAAATTCCAGTGAAATTGGTCCGTGTCATCTTTGAGGTTATATTATATTATATTCATCGAGGTTATATTATATTCATGAGGTTATATTATATTCATCGATATCCAACCACTCATTTTAATTTTCTTCATTCAATGTAAATGATGATTCTTCACGTAACACCTCATCATGACAATTGTCAAAACTATTATTAGGCACATAAGACTCTTTAAATTTCTTCAAAACACGATGTTTTCTCACTCTTTCAGTCGATTTACGACTACTTCGCACTTTTGACGCCATAATTAGGCTTGAATCGCGCTTGGTCTAAATGCAGTGATGTCGAAAACGATTGGATATGAACTGGATCAAGATTGCAATCTCGAAGTCTTAGTATCAGTCTTCGATCGAGCCTGGTCCAAGCTTGGTATTATCCAGCTTGGTATCCAGTCATGAAGACAGCTTGAACCAAGACTTACCAGCAGGGTTAGATGTGGCATATGAGCCTGGTCATTGCCGATGCTTGAGTACCAGTCTTGGATCCAGCCCGGTCAAAGCCTAATACTTTCAAGGCTTGGATACCAGTCCTTGGTGCTCCTTGGTCCAAGACTTGATACCAGGCTTCAATGTGCCATATAAATCTGGTCTCCATCGAGGCTTGGATACCAGTCTTGGATCCAGCCTGATCGAAGCCTAGTACTTTCAAGACTTAGATACCAGTCTTGGATCCAGCCTGGTCGAAGCCTAGTATTTTCAAGGCTCGGATACCAGTCCTGGGTGCTCCTTGGTCTAAGACTTGTTACCAGGCTTCGATACGCCATATCACTCGGGTTATCATCAAGGCTTGAGTACCCCTCTTGGATATAGCCTGGTCCAAGCCTAGTAATCACGTGGCTTGGATACCAATCCTGAGCATAGGCTGGGCCAGGCCTGGTATCCGAGGGTGTTAGATGCAAGTCTTGCATATAGACTGGTAGGACCATCGATACAGGCGAGGGCCAGCCTATATAAGACAAGGCTTGGAAGTCTCGACTGTTCCAAGCTTGAACCGGTTGTCAAGGCTTGGCAATTCCTAACTGGGAAGAAACCCAATGTTTGCTCGGCGCAGTGACTCCCGACAACTCGCCCGCTAATTAAAAAATCGTCTCTCCCCTCCTAATTAACATTAAAGAATGAAACTAATGCTGTTCGATAGAGAATTAAATTCCCCATCCTTCAACCCTCGTTTCATTCCTTAACCTCTGTAATGAAAAAATAAAAACTGCGACGAAAGTCGCGGCGCTATGAAAAACCTAATGGTTTCTCGGCGCAGTAACTCCCGACAACTCCTCCGCTAATTAAAAAATCGTCTCTTTTCTCCTAATTAATATTAAGGAATGAAACCAATGCTGTTCGATAGAGAATTAAATTCTCCATCCATCAACCCCCGTTTCATCCCTTCATCTCTGTAATGAAAAAATACAAACTGCGACGACAGTCGCGACGCTATGAAAAACCTAATGGTTTCTCGGCGTAGTCACTCCCGACAACTCGCCCGCTAATGAAAAAACCGTATCTCTGCTCCCAATTAATATTAAGGAATGAAACCAATGCTGTTCGATGGAGAATTAAATTCCCCATCCTTCAATCACTGTTTCATTCATTAATCTCTCTAATGAAAAAATTATAGCTGCGACGAAAGTCCGGCGCTATGAAAATCTCAATGGTTTCTCGGCGCAGTGACTCCCGACAACTCGCCCGCTAATGAAAAAACCGTATCTCTGCTCCCAATTAATATTAAGGAATGAAACCAATGCTGTTCGATGGAGAATTAAATTCCCCATCCTTCAATCACTGTTTCATTCATTAATCTCTCTAATGAAAAAATTATAGCTGCGACGAAAGTCCGGCGCTATGAAAATCTCAATGGTTTCTCGGCGCAGTGACTCCCGACAACTCGCCCGCTAATTAAAAAATCGTATCTCTGCTCCTAATTAACATTAAGGAATGAAACCAATGCTGTTCGATGGAGAATTAAATTCCCCATCCTTCAACCCCCGTTTCATTCCTTAATCTCTGTAATAAAAAAATAAAAACTGCGACGAAAGTCGCGGCGCTATGAAAAACTGAATGGTTTCGCGGCGCAGAGTGCTTCCCCATTAATTCGCCTGCTAATTAAAAAATCGTCTTTTTTCACCTAATTAATATTAAGGAATGACACCAACGCTGTTCGATGGAGAATTAAATTCCCTATCCATCAACCTTCGTTTCATCCCT